AAGAGAAACCACTAAGCCATCAAAGGTCATTTGCTGATTGCTTTCCAGGTTACTACACAATTTGAACTCACTTAATAATAGAACCCCAGATACGCAGAGGAAGGCAAGTCACCACAGCAGGTTTTGGGTTGCCGTACAGTAAGTCTGAGGCTCACATGCTGGGAATCAATGGCTTGGTGACTTATAGATGCTGCCTAGCACTTGAAAGATGTGATTGTGGATACATGAGGACAAGCCCTAGAAGATGAACCCTAGTGTTTGAGTCAGGGTCCTTTATACCCAAGCTCAGTTTGCTTCTGTGTCAGGAACTATACCAATTGACAGGGATGCATCAGGCACCGGCTCCTCCATGGCCCACCATAAAAAGTAGCTCTGAGGAGGAGTCACCAGCATTGTTTCCAAGGCACCAAGTCAAAACATCTATGTAAAGATGTTGAAGAGTCTGAGATTGCGGGAATAAGCCCTCAAGGGTCACATTGCCTTGCACGGAGAAACCACCAGCTCAGCTCTAACCAGAGTCCACCCCACAGGCCAAAAGGTGGAAGTAGAGAGACAGTGGCAGAGAACCGGGCTCAAGTCAAGCAAGGGGTAGAGGGAGAGCCCAGCCCTTTTCTCACCAAGGTCACTGAAGAGCCCCACCAATGGTCAACTCATCCCCCTGCCTCAGGCAGACAGAAAAGGGACCTTAGGGTTTTGGCCTGCTGTGAGCATCATCCTGGATTGTCAACTTGATGGAATTTAGAATCACCACAGAGACAACCTCTGAATACATCTGTGAGAGTGTCTAGTGTAGGTTAACTGAGGTGAGATGCTCCATCTTAGATGTAGGGGTCCTGGACAGAAGGAAGGGAGAGAGAAATAAGCAGCCCCAGGCACCGTTCTCTGCTTCTTGATTTTGGGACACCGTATGAATGTCCTCTGTTCCTGTTGCCAGGCCTTCCCAGTCACCAGAGGCTGTGTCCCCTCCAACTATGGCTCAAAACAAATCCTCCCTTTGCTTGCTTTGGTCAGGCATTTTGCAGCATCTAGAAGAGCAACCAACACATTTATGGTGCCTATGGTAGGGAGCAAAGTTCTCACAGAGACGGGACCTGAAGATCTGTCAACAGACCACAGTTAATAAGAAGTGAGTCTGCCACCACTCCCAACCCCAGCAACCACGGCTCTGTTAGGCTGGCTGAAGGGAGTTAATTCACACAGCAGCCTTTTGTCATGCCAGGGACTGAACCCAGAGCTTCCCAAATGCTAGGCAAGCGCGGTGTCACTGAGCTGTGTCCTCAGAGCTCCTTCCACAGCTTCATTTTGAGATTGTAGTTTATGAAGTGGCCTACGCTGACCTGGAGCTCCTGCTCTAGTTTGGTCAGGCCTCAAATGTTTGATCCTTCTGCCTCAGTCTCCTGAGCAGCTGGGACACAACTTGAACCCCAGGCCTAACAGGTAGCTACTTTTTGTACTATGTTAAAAAGTTGAAAAATTGAAAGAAGTCGGTAGTACTCTTTTAAGTTGTCATCTAAAACGTAAAAGCAGAACTAAGTAAGAATTGTGTCAAATTATTTTAACACAGGAAACTATCCAGAAGACTTTAAAAGTCCTTTTCTGTTCTGAAAACTAGCAACAGTCAAACAGACAAAGAAGACAAGCTAGCCACCAGTAGGACTTCAGAAATCATGGTATCCACACAGCTTACATTTCTAGCAGCCTCCTCTATGCTTCCCAGCAGAGCATGCTCAGGGCGTATTTTCTGGTGTTCTGTAAGCAGTACCTCCGTAGACCAGCCTTGCCCACCAGCAGCAGAATGGCCATGCTGTGGGAAAGGCTCAGGGAAGTTGTTCTCTTCTGAGAGGCAAAGCTATGTACTTCTCTGAGGAACAAGAGCGCTGATGCTAACTCAGCATCGCTGTGTCTCGTCTCTAGACATCCCAACTTGAAACTAGAGTTAGCGATGCTTCAGCATGCTGCTTCCAGACCAGTGCAATCTGCCGGTCGGATGCTGGGGTGGGTTTCTGGTGTCTTATCTGGAGAAGCCCTTCAAATCCCTACAGCCTTCAGCTCCTTTATGACTCTAGGAACCAGAAAGTGCCAGGATCGAAGATGAACCCAGACAACATAAGGGATGACCCTATCCATTCCCGTTTTTCTCCTCTGTAGCCCAGGAAGGCTTTGGAAGTCACACAGTCCATTAAAGGTGAAGGATGACCTAGCTGCAAGGACAGCAGGTCAGCCGCTCAACACAGGGCCACAGGCAACCGCGATAAATGCCACCAGGATGTGGAATCGACTTCCTTTGATTTTATTCCCTCTGCCCTCAAACGCTTTTGGTTGTCAGGAGCTGTGGGACTGGAGGGAGGGCAAGGAAGAAATGTCTATGGCTGTAGTTAAAACTGTGCTTCACACTGAAAACTCGAGTCACGTTTTTATCTATTCTGATCTACTGTTTCTATCTGTGTTCCATGACCATGATGGGCGGTGTGGAGGGCACAAAGAGCAGTCGGAAAGCTGACCACTGGGCCATTAAACGTCGTCCATTCCTTTTCCATCAGGAGGAAAATTTGTTGTTCAGATTCTTTGTCCTGGAGACAAGGGTTGAGTGTGTATGTGGCAATGATGTGGCCCGGCCTCAGGCTCCTGTATGCCCTGACAAGCTCTACAGTAGACCTAGTCCTATGGCTGTTGTGAAGAGCCCACTCCAAAATGACAGCACTCAGTGCCACTAGCAGCTGCTTGGTGGCTGCAAACACTGCGTTTCCACCACCTCTGCTCAGTGCTGACAGGAGGGGATACAGATGGATGACCTTGTGGATGGCTTCTCCCTCTGAGGTACCAGGCCCTTGACACCAGTGACCTGGTGCAATTGGGTGGTAGGGATGTAGAACTCTCAGCTCCTTCTCCAGCACCATGTCTGCCTGTGTGCTACCATGCTTCCCGCCGTGATGCTAATGGGCTACATCTCTGAACTGTAAGCCAGCCATAATTAAATGATTTCCTTTATAAGAGTTGCTGTGGTCATGGTGTCTCTTCACAGCCACAGAACACTGACTAGGAAACCACCTTAGGAGAATTTAATATGAAGTCCGTGCTACCCAGGGAGCAGGTATCTGCATACAGTAAATGCTCAACCAATAAGAGATTTTACTGCTAACTCTTTGAGTCAACCTTCTATGTCCACAGGCAGTCCCTACACAACCCCTATGCGAGGAAGGCAAGCTTGATTGTTTTATTTTTGGTGGCACTAGAGATTGAACCCAGAGCCTTTTACATTCTAGGTAAGAGTGCTCCCACCGATCTGCACCCTAGCCTTGGAGTTCAAGCTATTAATAGGCACCGGAATGTGAAGTCGCACATTGATGACAGTAAGGCGATTAAAAATTAGTTCCATTGCAGTAAAACAGACAACCTAATGGGGAGCACAAGACCCCATTTCCGGGCTGTTGGTTGTTCTCTTTCCTGGGGTGGCACCTGTCTGGCTCCTCATTCCTGAGTCAGTCTTTTGGGTCTGCCCTATCCTTCCCACAGGGGGTGTTTATTGAGCTACTGTATTGTTGTGTATTTAGCACCCTGAGAATAGCACTTTCCCAAGTCCTGGAACCTTCTCCCGAGGCACATGCAGGCCAGATGAAGAAATATGTGTCACACAAGCCTAAATATGCGTACACAGTGAGCTGGATGTACCGTGACTATGCAGGGTGCGTGTGTGTATGTAGTCAGTATGGCTACAGAACCCACATGTACAACTGTCCAATTCACACGCTTCCCATACATTGTCTATCCATGTAGATACAACACGACGTCAGCTCTTCAGAGACAAGGTCAGGGATCGGTCTGTTGGTGTTTCATCACCATGGAGATAATGCCCAGAGACACACTGGGATAGAAACAGCCACCTGAATGTTCTCAACACTAGATAGCTCTGGCCAAACAAGCATTTTCTCTGCGCTCTGCCTCTGCCCTTGCTTCCTAGGTGCTCACAAGATCCCGTCCAGGCTTCCCTGTGACTGGTTTTCCCCACACAAGCATGCCGAAGCCTCAGCTGGCATTCCAGAGCCCTGGGGCCGTCCTCTCTGCACCGGCTATGGTCCATTTTTCTAAGAGCACACTGCATCTATGGCCATGTGACTACGTCATGATCTTCCATGCCATAAAGCAGAGGTCTCCGCCTGCATTTCTGGTTTCTCCTATAGACTCAGAGCCCTGCCTGGGAGTTTTGGCTTTCCCGGCTTTTTCCTGGCTCTACACTACGCCCGCATTGACTTATTTGTGTAGCTCTAGTATTTGTCAGCTGTTGTCCTAAACACTGCCACCTACTTCGGTGATAGAGACTACTATGACAGCCCCATACCTAAAGCCAACGGGAACCTGTGCAAATTAGGGAATGACCCTCCCCCCTTGCCTCAAGATGCTTTGTTTGTATTTGCTTAGAAGTGGTCAACACAAATGTACACAATTTTACCATGTCCACAGTACAATGGCTGCCAATGTAAAAAGGACAACAGGAAAGGCATTTCTGGGCATTAAGCCATGCAGTTAGTGGTGGCCCTGACTAGTGAGATATGAGGGCTCTTTCTTCTTTGCTACTCTCCAGTAGGACTGAACTATATGATGCATATTCTTTTTTTTAAATATTTATTTATTATGTATACAATATTCTATCTGTGTGCATGTCTGCAGACCAGAAGAGGGCACCAGACCTCATTACAGATGGTTGTGAGCCACCATGTGGTTGCCGGGAATTGAACTCAGAACCTTTGGAAGAGCAGGCAATACTCTTAACCACTGAGCCATCTCTCCAGCCCCCTATGATGCATATTCTATCCACACACATGAAAATAGCTCTGCTTCTGTTGAGACTAAGATCCGTTAAGTTATGTTACAGGGCGTGGTGATAGTGTTTGATTAGCACGCATGATGTCCTGGGTTTGATTCCCAGAATCACAAAATTATACACACACACACACACACATGTATATATGGAGAGAGAGATATCAATGAACATTACACAGACATAACATGTATTAACATCTATAGATTTTATTTTCTTCAAAAACTTTCACTGAGCAATTGATTGAATTTATTGTAGGTGTGTGATTGTGTACACTGTTAAGGCCAGAGGACAACTTTCAGGAGTTGGTTCTCACCTTCCACCCTGTTGCTGCCAGGACTCTTGTGCCTGCTGCTCTCAGTATTCGGGGTGACTGGCCTCAAGCTTCCAGATGACCTCTGACCTCTGCCCCCTGTCTTCCCGGAGGAGTGCTGGGATTTCCCGTGCACGGCGCTGCATCAGCTCTTCACACGGATTAGGAAGACTGGCTCCTGCTCTCACACTTCTCCAGTGAGTGCTTTTACCTGCAAAGCCATGCCCCAGGCTCATGTCCTTTACAGAGAACCCCTTTCTTTTTTATGAGGTGGAGAAGAGTGGAGGCATCACCTAAGCAAATAGTTGAAGCTAAAAAACATCTCGCGCCCTCCGCGGAGGCGGACAGAGAAGAACTCGCATTAAATGTGTTGATCGAAAGGACATAGACTGGCAGGAGAATCTACAACAGGCCTGGACCCATCATAGACAGCAGAGTCAGGGGAACACAACACAAGACTGGCCCACAGAACAGCAATCGGAGGGATGGGCTCTGACTGGCCTTCACGGAAACAACTTGCCGTGGTCGCCACTGAGATCGGAACACGATTGCTAGACAACTGCATCCCTGTTCAGTTTCCCCATCGACTGATGGAGGGGCAGAAGGTCGCAGGGCCCCTGAGACTGAGTGAAAGCTCAACAAAGCATGCTCGGCTCCTGAGTCAGGAAGAACAGATAAGAGTTCACTCACTCCTGGGGTTTCCAAAAGTTTAAAATTTTCAAAACAAATTTTGTAAAAACTGTTTTGGGGGACTTGAATAAACATATTACCTGTGTAGGGATAAGTAGGTGTGGTATACTAGGGACATCTAGTTTAAAAGATGGGTGATGAAATAATCAAGTATATTCCAGGACCGTTCTGTGAGCAAGAGCAGAGGCTTCAACATATCAGACATTAAATCATGGGAGGTGCAGGGACCAGAAACAGAAGTAACTGGGCACCACATATATTTAATCCTCTTTTCTAACCACTGTAAAGTTATTACATAAAAAAATAAAAAAGCGGCAATGAGGATGCTACTAGATAAAAGACATCAAAAGTATTTTCAAGATTTATTTTATGTGCCTGGGTGTTGGCCTACATGTAAGTTTGTGCACCATGAGCATGCAGTACCCATGGAGGCCAGAAGAGGGCAGTGGATTCCCTGAATTGGAGTAACAACCACTACATGGGTGCTGGGAATTGAACCTGGATCCTCTAGAAGAGTAGCCAGTGCTCCTAACTGTTGAGCCATCTTATCTAGCCCCTCCTCCAAATGATTTTAAAGGAAATCATTTCATTAGGCAAAAAGCAGATGGAGAACTAATGGGCTGCCTCTAGAAAGCAGCTTAGCCTGAATCCTACAAATGGAATGATAAAAGCTGAGCTCAATGAAAATGAAGACCCAGGATAAAGAGTCAGGTATGGGGTAGAAGGGGGACCAGGGCTAATGGTAGGGGACACGGGGCATCTGCCTGCACGTAGCAGTAACACTCCCAAGTCCTGCTATGTCTTGACAACTATCCCAAAAGAGGACATTAAACGAGAGGTCCCAGAAGTGGGTGCCTAATGAACACGGGCTGACAGGACAGGCCCAATGCACTCCAGGGTTGTTGCTTGTGAGAGAGTCTCAGTTGGTAGCCCAGGATGGCCTCCAGTTTGTGATCTTCCTGCTTCAGCCTTTCTGGGGCTGACTTTCCAGGCTCATGGCACCACACCTGGCCCAGGATAATTTGTGGTTAAATAAGGATTTGGTATTGCAATTATTATTGCGCAAATAAAATGTACTGTTGGGGAATGTTTCAATACATCCATGACCATGCTTTGGGAAAATCAGAGCTAATAATGAATGTCCTTGTTTCCATATTTTGTCACTTCCTTGTGCTCTATTTCCCCCAAGGCACCATCTAGCCTGTTCCTGCTCCATGACAGTCTGTCCTTGTGTTGTAGATGCAGTATCCTCTTATTTCTTGGAGGTTACTGAGGTTTTGCAGTCTGTGTTCTACAAATCCCATTTCCTGCGTGTTTGGGCCTTTCTCTCCATATTGGACAATCTCCTTAAAGAGCCGTGTGTTTATTGGGTACAATCTGTAAGAGGAATATGCTACTAAAGGGAATTTGTAAAGAGTTGCTTCTAAGGAGAAGATGAAGAGGGGCTGAGGCAGACACATTTTCTTTACAAACCTCCCAGTGGTACTTATTGTCAACTAATTCATCATATTTTCTTTGATAAAAATAAAAATGGAGAAAAAAGAAGGGCCAACAAAATGGCTCTGCAGGTAGAAGCGCTTGCCTAAGGCCTGAGTTTCTTCCCTGAAATCCACAATAGAAGGCAAGAACTGACTCCTGGAAACTGTCCTCTGACTTCCACACATACCAGGAAATGCAAGCCCCTGCATTTACACACATAAAAACCACACTAGGAAAAGCACCTGCATTCACACATGCATAATAACAACCCTAGGAAATGCACCTGCATTCATAGTAACAACTCTAGGAAAAGAACCTGCATTCACACATGCATAATAACAACCCTAGGAAATGCACCTGCATTCATAGTAACAACCCTAGGAAAAGCACCTGCATTCACACATGCATAATAACAACCCTAGGAAATGCACCTGCATTCACACATGCATAATAACAACCCTAGGAAATGCACCTGCATTCACACATGCATAATAACAACAGAAAATGCACCTGAATTCACACACACACACACACACACACACACACACACACACCAGTAATAATGCATTTATTTTTAAAGCAATTGAAACACCAGAGTATACTAGAGCCCAAGCAGGTATAGCAGTTGCTGTTCAGAAGACGAGGGTTTTCCTTTTTGATGGAGTGAAGATAAACATGGAGGTGACAAATGAGAAAGACCCAGATCACTGAGAAGCCATCTGGACAGTGACTGCTAGCAGGATGGAGTCTGCAGTGCGCCAGACAAAGTGCCTGAAACACAGAAGTCAGGGAGGCACGCGCTGTAAAGACTGGGCGCTCAACCCTGAGAGTGAATGTCTAGGTTTGCACCCGGTGGGAGGCCCAGAAGGAGAAATGCAATGTGGACAGCTCATTGCCGGGGGCCTAGGGCACAGGGAGAACTAACTCCACTCTTCTGAAACAGGAAGGAAAGGAAATCAGCAGGCAGTTTCCAGCCAGGAGTGCCACGGGCACAGCTTTCCTCCCCGCAACCAAAGGGGACAGAGAGAGCCGAGGTGCAGCAGTCATGGGAGCCTCTGCCAAAACAACGCGGTGAAAGAAAGCCTGTACTCCTGAGAGAGAAGTTCAGTACCAGGGCTTGACTTAAGCAGATCCACAGTAGTTTTCCTAAGCAACACAACACACGTTCTACTTAAACTTTGAGTATTGTGTATGTGACACGGGTGAGCGCAGGCATGCTTAGGCCGCATCAGGTGTGCGGAAGTCAGACGACAACTTTTGGGTGTTGGTTCTTACTGCATCCTGCACAGCATGGTCCAGGAAGTTCGATTGGGTGACAAAGGACAGACAAACATACAGAAAGACAAACGTACAGGAAATCGGGGATGGTGTGGGCTGTGCTGGCTCTGAGACACCTACCATTCAGCCTAGAGACCCAGTGAGTTTATGATGTATAGTAAAAAGAGGAGGGATCAGCGCTTCTCAGTAGGAGGTCGCTACTGTAGGGGGGGGACAGTCTCAGGCTGTAAACATGCAGGAGGAAGCAGCTGTGGTCGGTGCCTCACACAGTCAACTTTCCTACCCAAGCTTCCAGAGGATCCACCGCCCTCTTCTGGCCTCCACGGGTACTGCACACACATGGTGCACAGACATGCCTGCAGGCAAAACACTCATACATATAAAATAAATAAAAAAGAATGTAGACACAAGCACAGGTATCAAGGACATTTCTAAATGAAAGTTCTATGTAGAACTTTATAAGGAGAAGTTGAAAATCTTAAGTGGATTTAAAAAACTTTTAAAAGAATTTACAAAACAGAATAGTATTTATCCTTTTTTCTCTAAAACTGAAATTTGCATTGATTCATTGACTCAAGGATGGGGAGGTGGCCTACCGAGTCAGGACTAGGATACTACTTCGTGGAATCAACACGCTATTTACATCCCTCAAGCAAAGCCTCGGGCAACTTTAAAACACTGTTTGCAGATTCTAAAGGCCATCCCCAAAAAGGGTTAGAAATTAAAGTTTCTTTTGAAATAGAAAAGTGGATTTCCCTGAATAACAGCAAACCCCACACCTGTGTATGGACTCAGACACCCAGGTGATTAGCCCGTCTGGTGGGAGTTGGCCTGGAGCATTCAGAGGGAGGAGAGTCAAGAACTAAGAGTCTGGGTTTCACTTTCATATCAACTTTTTAAGCTTTGGTTTTTGGAGCTGGGTCTCACTCAGGGTGTGGCAATCACCATCTCATCAGTGTGAACCGCCCGCCTACTGTGCTGTGGTAACAAATCACCACACTTCAGACCCTGTCTTTCAGAATCAAAGGCACTGGCCAAGTTTTACTTTCTTCAGGAGAGTACGGAGGGTAAAGTCTTGTCTTCTTCAGTGGTAGTGGCTGCCTGCAGTCCTTGGCTTGAGGCCCCATTCTTCAAGGTGCAAAGCCAGAGGGCTCTGCTGAGTTTCTCATTCTGCAACTCTCAAGCGGCCTCCCTCACCTCCCTTTTCCACATTTACCAGTCCTCGCGATTACTCTAGGATCTCCTGGGTAATCCGGAGTAAGCACCCTGGGCAGATGTGACCTCAGTGGCCCTTGCCATTGGTCGGTAACCATCCTCAAGGGTTGTTTTATTATGTAGCTCAGGGTGACCTGAACTCACCAACCTCCTGTCTAGCTTGGGATTCCTTCACCATGCCTGAAAGAGTGCACACTACTTTTATAAAGTTAGATGCACACAACAGACATCATTTTAATGAGACTAGACACTTGTAACAGAAAATGGACTGCTACAAGGCCAGGCAGTCTACAAATGGAATATTCCAGAAGAACTGGCTATCAAGACAGAATACAAATGGAGCTATAACATTTGATAAAGGTGTATTTCAAGCTATGAAGGAGAAAGGAAAAACAGTTCACAAGAGGAGGCTGCAGAGGTCACTGCAAATCAAAGACTTGGTTTTCATCCATTCCAAATATACTGAACATCAATACGATAAAAACCCAAAAGAAATTAATAGTGTGCAAAACTATACAGGAAAATGTGTTTGTACCCCTAGGGTTACAAGGTTTCCTTATATCTCAGTCCACAAAGCAAATCTTGGTAATGTTAACATAAAATGAAAATAAAGGCGACAGACTGAAATCTTTTGAAGGAAGACGTGATTATCTGTATTAGAGACATCCAAGTCTCAGCCTGTAAACCCAGCTATGGCGCGGCTGAGGCAGGGGCGGGGGCTCCAGTTGCCAAGCCTGAATGACTGTGTGAGATCCTGTCTCAAGAGAAAGCAAAAGCAGTGGGAGCTAGAGCTCAGCGGTAGAGCATTTTCCTGCACGGGAAGTTCAAGCTCCAGCTCTGAAAAACAGGAGGCAGCCATGATCCGTCAAGTCTTTGTGGAGCCTGACAGGGCCATGAAACTATAATAAAATGAGACCAGGACATGAACAGACAAAAGAGACTGGCTAACAGCATACTCTGGTGGCCTTGAGGAGTTTAACCCTATTGAGCCTCAGTATCACTACGTAAAATAGGGCTAATAATACACCTTAACTCTTTTTTTTGTTTTGTTTGTTTTTTTTTTTCTAGACAGGGTTTCTTTGTGTGGCCCTGGATGTCCTAGAACTAGCTCTGAAGACCAGGCTAGTCTCGAACTCACAGAGATATGCCTACCTTTGCCTCCTCCTGAGTACTGGGATTAGAGGTGTGTGCCACCACCACCTGGCTATACACTGACTTTTACTTAGGATAAAGATGGAATGAGTTACTAAAGGCATTTTTAATGATGCCTGGCACAGAGTATTGGCGCAATCCACGATGGATCACATGTTCTGTGCCCATCCATGTTCACTCACATGCTTAGGCAGATGTTCAGCATAGCATCATTTGCTACGGCAAAACTGAATTACTTTGAATGGTATTGACAACCAACAGATAAGTGCACTTTTGTGCCTGCTCAATGCTGTGGACAATGGTCTGTATCCTGTCACTTGTATTTTAAATAAACACTGATTGGCCAGTAGCCAGGTAGGAGGTAGAGGTGGGATGACCAGGCAGGAAGTAGAGATGGGGCAACAAGAATTCTGGGAAGAGAGAAGTTTCAGTCTGCAGTCGTCACCCAGACACAGAAGCAACAAGATGTGACGGCCTCGCCAAAAAAGGCAGCAAACCATGTGGCTAACACAGACAAGAATTACAGGTTAATGTAAGTTATAAGAATTAATAAGAAGCCTGAGATACTAGGCCAAGCAGTTTATAATTAATGTAGATTTCTGTGTATTTCTTTGGGGCTAAACGGCTGTGGCACCTGGTGGGACAGAAGCTTCTGTCAAGAGAACAATAAGGATTAATTGTTAAAAGCACTCACATAAGGCTATTAAGATGGTTCAGTGGGTAAAGAGGTTTCTTGCCAAGCCTGACTACCTGAGTTTGATCACTGTGAGCTCCATAGTTGGAAGAGAAAACTCCTGCAAATTGTCCTTTGAGCAAAACACACGCACACGCATGCGCACACACACTTTGGCACGTAATCGCCACCCCCAAATAAATGTAACAAAATTTTAAAACATCATGCATGATCTAGGGCACTAATACGATCTGTAAACACAGACCAACATGTGCATTTGTATAATATGCTCAGAGCATGCTGGCTAGGTGGACTAGCTGATCGTTGAGCTTCAGGTTGGTCAGAGATCTGCCTCAACAAATACGGTGGGAAGTGAGGTGAGACGACATCTGATGTCAGCTGTCAATCTCTGGCCTACACACACACATACACACACACACCACATATGCATGCAAAAAGCAAAACAAAAACAAAAAAACTTATCAAAAGAGACCACCAGGCAGGGAGACAGGGTTGAGGGAAGGTCTAAGGAAGACTTTATCAAATGAAGTATTTTTTTAAGTAAACATGCATTGTTTTGAAAAATTGTTTAAAAATGGATACAAAAATCATGATTACTTAGAATAATCCAAAATAGACATAGGAACAATGGAAAATCAAAAGGAAGTTGTGACATTATTTATCTTGTGACTTTTATTTTATTTATTTATTATTAGAAATGAAAAACGCAAAGGAACCAAACTTTCTGAGACTGTCAGCTTAGCCATGGGCTCTCAAGTTCTTTAAATGTGGCCTAAGAATGTCAAAATCTGACGTTTTCCAATGAGAAACATTCTACAATAAGTGTCTCAATCCCTTGTTTCCACTGCGTATCCCTCCCTGGGAAGGCAATGTTTGCAAATTTAAAACACGGCCCTTCAGTATCACTTAGCTGACATAAACAAATTAAAATAAGGCCAGCCTAAGCCAGGTGTACCAACCTGATCCCCTCTGAAAATGAGAGGCGAAGTCAAATGCCCTTTAATACTATTTATTAGTGGAGTAATATAATACATTTTGACAAGTTGAGCAGCTTTAACAGGCAGCTGTTAAAGTCTCTACAGAGCCTGTTTAGAATGAAACAGGAGCGAGAGACAGTACTGTAACTGGTTCTGCGAACAGCTCAGCCATCAACTATATCCTAACCAAGTACTTTTTATCCAGCTAATTTACGGAGCGAATCCCTCAGGGTCTCCAGCGTCTACACTGCAGCTCATTAGAGCCCAATAGCCAACTTTTCTCATTGTAGCACAGAAAGCATGTGTGCTTAAAATATAATTAAATGGAAAACAAATAAGATCCTTATTCCCTGACAGTCTCAGTATTTTTAAATTGACAAAGGCACGAACTTATATGCGATTATTTAGAAAGCAGGACAAATTTCAGGCACTTATGGCAAGACATTTGCCCAAGCACTCATCCTGCATGCAATTAGGACGCTAAAGACTTGGGCTATGAGTTCCTCGTGGGAATTAAACTTGCAGGTCTCTTACAAACGCATAATGTGGTAAGACTCGCTGTCCAATGAGGTGTCTTATTGAAATGTCCCAGGCCGTTTCGCTTGTCACAGCTGTCCTTTCAGCCGCCTGCACTCACAGTGTATAGCTTTCATTACGAAAATAGAAATTTGTGTCCTAAGTGCTGTTACATTACTAATGCTAAATATTTAATTCCCTGGGGTTCCAATTATGGTTGAGCGCTGGCAACACTGATTCTGCTCTCTAATAACAACTGTAAAGGCAATTGGAGCATTTTTCAATTAATTAAATACATAGTGAACGAGTAACCTCTTGTCATTTTGCCCTCCAGGACCTGAGCTAATTGCTGTAGAATAAAATGTTTTGAAAATTAACTGATATTCGGGGCTGCACACAGTTATACCATTAAGTTACAGTTTGCAGAGTGAAGTTTGTCCTCTGATAGTTACACTCCATGGTCTGCAGCTGTGAGAAAGTACCTGGTATTATGGACTTAGTGGGGCCTCCAATTAGGGCCAAGTTGAAAGCAGGCATGGCCTCTCTGAACCCATCAGTATCAATGATAGTTTGCACTGCTCACAGATAAGCGGAACGGATTTCCACAAGGCAAGTTCTCCAGACTTCATGACAAGCATCAACATTCTGAGGTGTCCTCAAAAGAATCCCTAACGCTAATTATATTCACACACAAAAATTTAAAACTCACGTTTTCAATTTTGTATTTTCCCATCTGAGAAAGTTGCTAATTAAATGTCTGGGAAAGGCCACTTTCTTGAAATATTTTCTTGCAGTTTCTCGTTTTACCCTAAAACAACATCATAAATAAGCCCCAAATTGATGTCTCAGCTAAGAGGGATGAATCATAAAAGCAGACGCCACATTTAAAATAAACCTTTTTCTGAAGTACAATGAAATTTGATTAAAGAGCTGGTCTCCTTGCACAAACGCCGCTGACAGGTGTTCCTTAGCTTCGGCCTTTGATTGGTTATAATCTGAAATCCATGCTGGGAAGCGGTGCCCCCTCGCAGCTGTCTGTCTAGCGGGGATGATCCCCTAAACAGGCTTCACAGAATTCGTCTCTGCAGAAGCACTTCGGCTTGGGTAGAAGGCACTGAAAGGGAAATTAATCACTCTGGGAGAGAGGAGAGAAATAATAGAGAAAATTTAATCATTTCCATACCAATTTTTAGGGTTTAAATCTTTAATATTTCTAAGATTATAGTAACATCTTTGAGAAATGAATCTTAATTACAGGATTAGCATGGAAGTACCAGTCAGTTAATATAAAGAGATCGGCCTAAATTGTTCATCTCTTTTAGACTAAAGTGGATAATGAGGACTTTCTAGAATTCTGAGGTTGAGTTGACTTCTCAAGAACTAATGCCAAGATCATTGGAAAATACACATGGCCACATAGAAAAGAAAAATATAAATTCTTTGAAGGTTATTGAAATATTAACCCATATGGAATATAACATCTTAATAGACTGCTGGCTTGATGTATTCTGTCAGTAACAATTCCTTGTGCTGTTGGGGGAATCATTAACTATTCTTAACATGATAACCCACTGAATCTGTAGATGAGGACCTGCTGAGATGGGTCAGTGGGTAAAGGCACTTGCTGCCATGCCTGATGACCTGGGTTCAATCCCTGGAACCCGAACAGTGGAAGGTGAGAACTGACTCTGACAGGCTGCTCTACATTCCTGCCACGGCGTGCATACATGCAGACACAGGAACACAACAAATACCACCAAGTCCAGATAAACAAATAATTATTTGCCAAAGGTGCAGATTTTTTCAAACTCTCAAAACTATATTTTTAAACTGAAAAGTAAAGAGAATTTTCACTTTCAATATAAGTTGTTGAGTTACTGCTTGTATTGAGAAATATATCAGGAACCGGGATGCAGCTCAGGGAGTTCCTGCCTAGGATGCATGAGGCCTTAGGCCCAATGCCCAACACTGAGGTAAAGAAAAGAAGAAATGGATTGAATTTTATTTCCAAATGCTCATGTTTTGAAAAATGGTGATTTTATTAACTGACTAATAGCATTTGGCTAAGGCTGAGTGTGGTGGCATACACCTATGATCCTTGTATTTGGGAGATGGAGACAGAAGGTTCTCAAATTAAAGGTCAGCCTGGACGATACAAGGAGATGCTCTCTCAAAACAACAAATAAGCAAATATACAGCCCAAACAAATTAAACAAACACCTGATTTTCTAGAAACACTGTGACTACAGTAGCCACTACAGCCAGCATATTCAGTACCAATGTTCCCAAGTTACTGGGCCTGGCTAGCCAGTTAGAATCAGTCACTGGATCCCACACGAATAGTTTTCATCACTGTCCGGCCACATCTCCCCTTGGGATCACATGCCCTTGGATTGAGTTCCCTCTCTCCCCCATCCATGTGACCTAGCATACCACATGTGCAGAGGGTTTGGCAGCCCCGTCTACACAGTCATAACTAGGTCTCACCTGTTATTCAACCACTGTTGTATTTTGGAGTAGTAAACAAACCCTATGGGCCTTGAAAACAGAGGATCCAGGTCCACCTGATGCTGCTAACTGTGGTTTGATCTGGGGCCAATCTCTTGATGCTTAGGCTCTTCTGGTCTTCCAGTTCAGAAAACAAGACAATTTAACTCCTCAGTGTCTGAAGACTTGAGGAGACAAGTCACCAAAGACTCTAGAGCAGGTGAAAAGGAGGAGGCCTATGAAAGTCCTGAAGCTTCCAACCTAAGGGTTACCTTCTGGCATACCCTACAAACCTTTTCATGGTGACCATATCAGGAACAGGATGGGTCACATGCATCCATGCACAGCAGAGAGGCAAATCAAAGCCTTGCAAGATATTTTTAAGAATTAAAGCTTTGCCTTTAGTCCCAACAAAGTACAAGGCAGAAGAAGGTCTGCCTTGGATTTTTAAGCGAAGGCCGAGAGCTGAGGATGTGCTCACTGGTAAAGTGCCTGCCTAACATGCACAAGGTTCTCCATTCCATCGCCAGATCCACAAAGAGAGATAATGGAGAATTGGCAAGACAAGAAAGGCATTGTTTAATACACTGAACTTTTGATACAGCTTGTTTCAAAACTGACTTTTTTATTCTAGCATGTGTTCAACTAGCCCCATGCCTGAGGCTTAAATCTCAGAGTTCCTCTCCCCTGGTTAGAATGAGTCTTGCAGGAGGCTATGGAACTTCAAGACTTGAAAGGCGGAGCCAGTACAATTTCCCATCCGACCCTTGAGTGGTCAAAACAAAACAAAACAACAAAACTCACAGAACTAATGCTGGTCTTTAACTTAGTGCTTCCAAGTGACCATTTCACACCAGAATTAGTTCTAGTACCTGATCTCCATGCTTACAAAGCCCAGGGCCCAGGAGATCTATAGGCAGGGCCAGGAGAAATATCCCTGGCAGCAATGGAGGGCACAGAAGCAGTTTAAGAAGTGTCAAAAAGAACTAAAACAAAAATGATACCAAGTCCTCTAAGGAGAACCAAGTGTTACAGTCCAGCTTGCACTGATGTCAGCACCAACATTTCGTGAGGCCCCACCCATTATTTCAGAGGTAGATAGGCTCCCTTGGCAAGATCTCCAATACCAGCAGCACCTGTTCATTCTCTAGACTTGGCTTCCTGCATAGCTCTCTCCCAGGGCTGCAGATCATAGCGGTTTGGGAGTACTTAGATAGTTTTATGGTTAATACACTGCAGTATAAATAAATATAGCTTAGTGTAAGCATCTCTGCTGAAAATATGTATGCCATAAAATGACAAATAAAATAGGTCAATAACTAAGCCCATAGTAAATAGCTCAGGCACAACATTAGCATGCACCAGCCTTCTTCAAAACGGATGATAAATTCTTCCGAGTAAAATTTCAAAATGAAAAGTTCAATGTGAACTTATATATTCCACTTCATGTGAGAAGAGGTTTTAGGAAAACACAGTGCATGCATTTGTGTGCTCAGTGTTCTATCACAAAGACACAGCAGGTGCCTAAAAAACTGTCCCTGAACACAGCTGTAATTTACAAACCTTGAATGCCAGGTAAGCACAGGAAATGCATCCGGCTGTTGTCAACTTTCTTTGGGGAATGTTTTGTTTAAAGTGAAAGCAAGGGTTTGAAGTGTGTACTGTACTCTGACTTTGATGGCAGTTGGGGCAAAGGCTACTGGGCAATTGTGTCTTGTTTTGGTTGAGTTTAAGAGACATTGCTGATCTGCGGATACTTGGAGTAGGTGATGGGAATGTAGGATACCTCTGTTCAACACCAAGTACATTCTGAAAACCCCAGCTCTCCTTCCCTGAGCACCCCACAGAGTTTATCCTTAACCTTGTACCTTTAAGACAACTGCAAGGATGAGCTGTTTGCCCAAATCTTCATTTTCATGATTCTCTTCCACACTCCTGTCTTCAGGGTGGTAACACTGCTAGAGTCCACTGCTTTGTCTTGAAGTTTTAATGTGCTGTTAGATTCCTGACACTGTAACAAGATCCCAGAGAAAGGAACTTACAAGGAGAAGGTGCTTATTTGGGCTCGTGGTTTTAGAGGTTAAGTCCTGGGGAGTGGGCTGTATCACTGCCTTGGGACACAGCAGGAGGGCGTGATGGAGGCAGACTTCTTACACTGCAAGCTAGGGAACAAAGAAGAGACCAGAGGCCCACAAAACCCTTTGAGATCACAACACTGATGACCTCTAGGCCCTAATCCTCTCAGGTTCTGTTACCTCCCGATAGGACCATCTTGAGGGCCAATCTTTTAGAAGGGGCCTTTGGAGAACATTTCAAATTCAAACTGCAGAGATTTTCACACATCACAGAACCATAAACCGGGGCAAAAAGGAATGTTAAATTACAAGTCTCTAAATGGTTTGTTTTGTTCCTACTTTTCTGCTTTGGTCACAAGTTCATTTTTTAAAAGTTGCTTTGTAGTTCTCAGTTTGGCATATAAAGAACTTAAGAGTCACCCCTGAGAAGCAAACACTGACCAATTTGGGAAAAAAATCAATGACTTCTATTCAGTCTGAGGTCCCAGAGAAAAATGCTAACCCCAAAATTGGAGATAGTCATGTACATTGAGAGAATGACTATTCATAGCAGAGATCCCTGGGAAACAGGCCCATAGTAGGAAAACCCAGGCTAGCACTGGCGAGCTGCTGGAGTCTTACATTCAAATCTGGCCGTAAGAACTGGGAGAGCACAGGCAGCTGGAACCCCACGATGTTGAGATGTCTCTCCTTGAGCCTCATCAAACTCCAGAGACTGGAGATAAATTTTCCTTGGGCTTCTGGCAGGGGAAAAGAAAGTGAGCACTGTGAAATATGCCGGAACATTCTATTCCATTCTGTTTTACTAAGATCTGCCCAGTAGAAGAGCATCTTAACCTAGTCTAACCTGCAAAGTTCCTTCTGTCAGAGCCCAGCTGACCCCCTGGCAGGCTCCTCTGAGCTCTGGCCATCTGAGCAGATAAGGTTCTGAGCTGAAGGCTGCAGTGTGCTCTCCCTCCTCCCCACACATCCTGAAGGCTGTAGTTCCTGCTACTCTGCTCTTTGCCTCAGCCGTCAGGGGGAGATTACAGAGCAGAGCACGGTCAGGAGCAAAAGCACACTTTGAACAGCTAGGGCCGGGACCAAATGCAGGCAGCAAGGCAGACATTTAGGCTAAAACTACCATTACTTGAGTGAGCCTGTCACTTCCAAAGCTCTTGTATTGGAAACTCAGCTCTCGATGCAACAGCATTTGGAGGTGGATCTGAATGGGAAGATGCAGTGAATGGGTTAATGCTGCTATAAAAAGAGCTTGAAGGAGTGGGTTCTCCTTCTCCCTCTCTGCCATGTGAGGACAGGGCATGAAAGCCTTCCCCACCCTCCAGAACTACGGAAGTAAATCCTCTTCCTTCCAATTACTCACCCTGTCACCCTGGTATAGCAACACGGGTCAACTAAGATGCTGCACAGAAAACAACTCCAGTGGAGAAAGAAGAGGGTGTGTGAGGATGGAAGAGAAATGCAAGCAGAGAGGAAATTTCAAAAAGGAACAAAATGCTAGAGATGCCACAGAAATGAAGGTGCTTTACTGTTTGTATCAGACTGAGGAAAGCTTCTCGGAGCAAGGAGACACTGTAATATAAACTGCCAAAACTGAAGCCCATGGAAAAATGAGTAAAAACAAATAAAAAACCAATCAATGAATCCCAACACCCAGGAGACAGAGTTAGGTGGGTCTCTATGAGTTTCAGGCCAGACAGTATAACATAGTGAGACTATGTCTACAAAAAAGGGGGGAAAGCTAAAAGAAATAGTACAAGGACTATAGAGAACATGGAGAGATGTATAGGTAAGAAACTCGGGTCTACAGATGTAAGAAAGGAAGACTACTGGAAAGGAGGAAAGGAGGATGGAGAGGGCAGATGACACTGTTAAAACAATGACTTGACCCCGTTACCGCGGCAGGAGAGATGCCTCAAGTCACAGTGAAGACGTGGCTCAGGGAGGAGACTGAGGGACGCAGTCAAAATCACACACCTATGCCCAGGCCATGGAGAGCGCCAAGGTGAGGGCAGTGTGCCGGGGTAAGCATCTTTGAGGACCAAGATGGAGCCAGCAGCGGGAGCCAGAGACTTTGTGTGACATGCACACTGAGGATAAGGGGGTGAGAAGTGTAGGCTACAAGCTGTCAGAGCTCCTTGGATTGCTAAACAATCGGATGGCACAGGAGCTCAGATAAGATAGACCATGGAGACAGCGGTAGGAAGACACGTCCACGGCCTCCCAGAAGGCAGAAAGCTAAGGCGGTGAGCATTCCCATGCAGCGGAGGAGAGACAGGGCTAGAGGGGTAAATCAGACTGGGAGGGATTGCTTCTAAGGGAACGGAGTATTCTAACAAATAGAAGAAAAGTGGGAAATTAGGGTAACACAACTGATTGGCTGGCCAGAGAGGACCCAATGCAATGAAAATGTGCCACAGCGGTGGAGCTACAGGAATCAGTATTATTACTAAAGATAAAATCAAGATATAATGGGGCTGGAGAGATGGCTCAGCAGTTAAGAGCATTGCCTGCTCTTCCAAAGGTCCTGAGTTCAATTCCCAGCAACCACATGGTGGCTCACAGCATTCTGTAATGAGGTCTGGCACCCTCTTCTGGCCTTCAGGCATACACACAGACAGAATATTGTATACATAATAAATAAATAAATATTTTTAAAAAATTCAGGATATAAATCTATATTTTATATAAATATAAAATCCTAATTTTAGTGTATTTTATAACCACTCTAAGTTATATAAATTTAAAAATAACTCAGCCATTCTGAAGACAAAGACTTACAATCCCAGATAATAAAAGGCTGAGTTGAGGCAGAAGGACTGCAAGCTCCAGGACAGCCTGAAAATTGTGTCAAACTGTAAAAAGGAAAAGGGGGCTGGGAATATATCCTAGTGGCAGAGAGCTTGCCTAGCATATACTGGGGAGGGAGGTTCAAATTCTTCTAAGGGGCCTATACTACAACAAAGCTCCCCAAATTAATGACGTTTAGCAAAGGCTCTCAAGCATTCCCTTCTGACCTGTACTTACAAAATAATGGTATGTACACACTTACCCCAAACAATTTTTTTTTTTTTTAATTCAAGACAGGTTCTCACCATGTAACTTTGGCTGAACTGGAACTCACTCTGTAAAGCAAGGGAGCCTCAAACTCAGATCTGCCTGCTTCTGCCTTCTGCTGGGATTAAAGGTGTGCACCACCATGCCCAACCCAAAGCAATTTCTTAATAAGGACATTGGCTCAGTATAGTCTTACCAAGTAGTCACTCTCTAGCTTTCATGAGGGATTTTGGCTTTAATTTTGAATCTCTTCTCAAAGAACTTTACATTTCTTTGCTACTTTAAGTCTACAATGAACCACAATTTGAAATAGTTTGACAGATTAGATACTTAAGATACCAGTCAAGTACAAAGCATTCCTTACCAAATAACAAAAAGAAGAAATAGATTGAGATTCTTGCCAGCCCCAGTTTTAGGAGGAATAGCTCCTATCTGATTTGCTCTCAAACCACAGCTCTTCTTCACTGCGGTCTTGGGAGGGAACTCAGGGCCTCAAAGAGGCTAGGTGAATGCCTGCTGCATTGTGTAGTGGCATTTCATGTGTATTTTAATAAATAAAGTTTACCTGAAGATCTGAGCATAAAACAGCCCCACTGGCAGCCTTACAGACTAGGTAGTGGTAACACAAACCTTTAATCCCAGTAGCCGACTAGTTTGCCATAGAAACCGGGCAGTTCATATCTTTAATCCCAGTGGTGCACACCTTTAATCCCAGCCCTAGAGAGGATTATAAAATGGGAGGAGACAGCTCTTAGTCACAATATAATTCTGAGATTCCTGGAGGCAGGATCACCATTTTGGACTGAGGTAGAGGGAAGAGCCAGTAACTAGCTGCTTTCCTTTTCGGATCTTCAGGTTGACCTCAAAGTCAGTTCCTGAGCTTTTATTAACTGCTTCAGCATTGTTCTACCCCAGGCTCATAAACCCAAACCTACAAATTCTTTAAAGAAGGACACCTCATTTCTGGTGAGTCCAGAAAAACATCAGGAGCTGTTAAATAGACTGCTGTCTGGCAGATGCTTTGATGCTTCAAGAAATTCTAGATAGACCTGATCTCACTCTGGTAACCTGCATCCTCACTCCAGTTTGTGTCCCTCTTTGCAGGGGCTGTCCTGCCTCCCCAGGTCATGTGCATCTCCTTCAGAACACAAGCCTGACTGGCTCTTGGTCTCTTTATATCCAACACTGCTTCACCACATCTGTCATTACCAGTCTCTCTGTGTCCTGAATTCTGAGTTCCAATAATGCACCACTGTGTGGGCTCCTCGTTTCTTTTGACTTTTCGTCTACACACCCCAGTCTAGAAGCATGAGCCAGGGGCGGGCCACTGTGATGTCTTTTCTGTGGTTAGAGTCCCAGAGACTCAAGTACTATGACACTGGATAGACAACTCCAACACAATTTTCACAAACCAATGACTGCACTAGCTTTAAAGGGTTTGTGTGGGAATCTCACCTTTTAGCTTCTCATTTACTAGAGTAAGGAACATCTAATTATCTTATTCTTTTCCCATAATGGTGGCTTTGACCACATTAGCCCAAGATAAAGCCACTGAAAGACAGGGGTAGCCTACATCTGGTTCCTCACTCATTAAAGTTAGAGGTTTATAATCTGAACTATAGGAGGGGTCACTAGGTTCAATTAATTACACCCAATGTTTCTTAGAAAGAAAAAGATTGGGCTGAGCATGGTGATGCACGCATTAAATCCCAGGACTCTGGAAGGAAAGGCAGGCAGAGTTCGAGGCCAGCCTGGTCTTGAGTGAGTTTCAGAACCAGGACAGCCAGGTGTCACATTATTATATTTTATGTAAGGAATGACATTTTATGAAAGGAAATCAGAATAACAATCACTCCTTAAAACTCCTTTCCATGGGTCTTCCCAAAATATCACATATGGCTTTGCAAGACATTATTATGTCTCAGTAAGTAAAATTTAACTCAGTTAAATTTAAATAATTCCCAGAAGGGCTAGTGGGAATGACAGCTGTTTTTTCCATTAAGAACTGTATAAAGTAGCTACATTATTTAGGGACCATATACCCAAAAAGGACTACTTCTTGCTTTTTAGTTCTTTCTTTCTCTAATTAAGTGCACAAGATGAATTAAACGCACTTTCTGTATCACCACCAACCTGACAGCATGTGGGTAATTCTGCAGGTGAGATGGAGTGGCCAAATGGGCGGCTAAAGATCTAGAAGGCACAATGCAGTTTTGATGTCCAGTCTGTTAAATCTGGAAAACTGCCCCACATTTTCCTGAGTAAACAGTGAACTTCGCAGCAACAATGTTTACATCTTTCTACCCACAGGAAAATTGACCAAGAAGAGAGATGATCTAAAAAGTAACCACCTGAGCATGAATGAACAAAAGCCAGATTCTGAAACAATGTGTGCTTCTATTTAACTACAAATAATTTAAGGTAGCTATATGTTTTTAAATCATTAATTAATGTAGTTGATATAAAAATTCCACAAAAATGTAGGTGCCCTCCTTCCTTCTTCCCTCTCCAAATATCAATTACAGTCTGAAAAATAATCACCTATAGATATAGGCGTACCCCACAATTCCACTAGTGCCTATGCATCCCAGGAAAATAAACTTATACTCTCTCTCTCTCTCTCTCTCTCTCTCTCTCTCTCTCTCTCTCTCTCTCTCACACACACACACACACACACACACACACACACACGCATGCACGCACACTGCCACATGACTATGTATAGCACCTTTACCTGTTGTAGTCAAAGCTCAGAAAGAACTATGACACCCCGACCATGAGGGGTTAAACTGAGGCACTCCTATGTGTTATGAAGCTTCATAACACAAGCTGATCTCAAAGACTGCCCACTGTTCTTAGACAACCTTCATAGGAATGGAGGGCCGACTAACGCTTGCTGCAGCTGAGAGGTGGGGAGGGGGTGAGTAGGTATGGCCACAAAGGAGAAAGATCAGGTCTTCATGGTAATGGAAATATTCCTCTCTTGATTATTCAACATCAATATCCAGCTTGCGACATTAAATATACTGCAAAATACTACTGAGAAAAACCGGGAAAAGGGTTCAAGGACATGTCTATTATTTTATACAACTGCCTTTGAATCTTTAATTATCTCAAAATATAAAATTTAATTAAAAGCAAAATTAAGAAAGGGGGCTAGGTGTGATGGCACTTAAGAGACAGAGGCAGGTAGATGTCTGTGTGTTTGAGGCCAGCCTGTTCTACATAGAGAGTTTCAGAACAGCCGTGGCTATATAGAAACACTGTTTAAAAAAAAAAAAAAAAAAACAGCAAAACACACACACACACCAAAACAAAAACAAGAAGGGAAACATTCTAGTTACTGAATTCGCTTTGCCATGCCGAGCTCTAATCTTCAGAAATCACCCCAGGGCTTGGAGTCTCTGTAATAGTTATGGAGGTGGATGAAGTACAAACTGGGCCACTCATACAAAACCCATAGCAATTTCTGTACCTGGTGGCATCTTTGAATCTCCTGGTTCCTTGCCTGCGGGTGATCTCTAGGTAGACACACACCTTCCAGGTTCCTGCCACTAGGGCTGGAGGCATCCTCTGTAGACTAACCAATCCCCCTTTTCTCCTGGTGGTACAAAGGCTACTACATGGACTCCCTGACAGCTAGGAAGTGGGTCGCCATTCCCCGAAGGCTGAAGGGTGACAGTCTTCTCTACACAAATCTGATGCTCCCACACACGATGAAGGCTATGCCAGGTGAAGCAATTTTCTCCAGAGTCTGAACTGCACTGATATATTTGTTCAGGAGGAAATGTTCTATTGGGGGTGGACAGGAGCAGTATAGAGAATTAAGAAGTGTATGTGGATGCCTGTCATCTTTTTTTCTCCCATGAGTATAACAGAGGCAGGTTAGAAAGTGATTTTGAATCTACCCCATGATATCTGATTTCTAGAAGAATCACAACAGCAAAAGAACTTTTAAAACTTTTCAATCATCAACATTCATTCAATCAAATAAAGTCATTTGAAAAAATTAACAAAATTTGATTTTTTTCCTATTCTTTGATTAGAGCAACAAATATTCAACAATCCTCTGTAATATTAAGCATTTCCAACGAAACCAGTGCTACAGAGTGCTTCACTCCCACAGCAGCTGAGGGCTGGAGCTGGGAGAACACTGTAATCTACAAACACCTACCCCCAAGCACATCAGCATCACAGAGCGCCTGTGTGTTCCGTGTCCTTGACATCCTGATGGAAACAGACCTCAGGAAACCCAATGATATGGACTGAATAAAAATAATAATTATTTGTCATATCACTGTCAGTCTTTAATACCTTGTACACACCACTGATTACAACTTAACTTGGCCATGCTGCTTCATGCTTGGGAGAAGACAAACCACTAATCAACTGTGGACACTAATTGAAAATGCTACTTTGTGGAGGCATTATAATAACTTAGTAATGGGATGAAGTGTTCCCTCTATCTGCTACTTTAAAATGCTCTCCATAACAAAATGTCAGCCAGGGTACACGCAGCCTTTGCAAACACCCAAGGCTACAGTCTGAATAAGTGACTGAGCCTCCCCTTTCGGGAGGCACAATTCTGCAAGTGGTGGAGGTCATATGGAAAATAGAATTATATGCTAATTTGTTCCTATATTAAGTTATCATAGGTCAGGTAAAACACAGGAATGTGAATTCTGGAGAAAAATTAAGTAGATTGGTACGAACTAGGTCAAAGTAAACTGTCTTAATACAAACAAAAAAGATTTTGAAAGCAGGCATCTTTCTTCCTTTATTATTTCTAACTAGACCTATATAATCATATGTGTAATTTTAAAACAAAAATGTTTTCTACAACTACTTCTTTCACAAAGAACTGGGGCAGAATAATTCTGTTTTTAGCAGAAAAAAAAATAGAGAAAGGTCTAATATTCAAGGGAATAATTTTCTCCAAAAAGCAAAACAAAACAAATTTCACTTTAACTATTTAAATTAAGTTTACAAAGATAATTCCCCACGCACTGTCAAATGAAGAGATGTATACTAATTGACGGGGTCATGGGTTACTATTATAATGCTTTATTTTACCCCAAATAAACTAAACAACAATAGAGGTGTTTTTGCTTAACATAGAGTCTGAGGAAAAGATAAGTTATTTAAAAATCTATTAAGGAAAAACTACTTTTTTCCTTAAAAGTTGTAATTCTATGGCTATTTCACTAACTTAAGATCTACAAATGCAATATAAATGGCTGAAGACTTTAGGTTACTGGTTCCAATGGCATACCCCTCATATTTAGTTCACAAGTTCCCTTAGAGGAAGAGAAAAGAAACTTAGAGGGCAGTGATGATATCGAGATAAACCCTTAGGAACAGGAAGTCATAGTTACAGCTTTTCACAATGTACCCTGTTTATTGTAAGACACAACAAAACAAGGCTACCCCTTTCACCCTTAGGCAATTCTTAGGGACAATGTGAAACAGTGTTGCTGTGTTCTTGGGCTCACTTTCTCCACTTAGGTATTGGCTGCATAGTCAATTTCTTCTCCACGTTTCCAAGGCCAGTTCATAACCGAAAGAGGCCAGTTCATAACAGAATGAGTCCAGTTGGCCGAACTTCCTTTAAATCAACTCGTTTTTAATTTCTAAAATATTGATCCTATTACTAAGTTACTATTAAAATGAACTAGGTTCCCACGGAACACCATTGTGTTATCATCTTTGGTAAATGCCAGCAGCTCAATCCACCACACTTTCTCCTACCATGTGAGCCATGTGGATATGAGTCAGACCTAAAATCCTTACACATTCTGATGTATAAATACACGGTATTTATTTCCTGTTTGAAGGATTTCATGTATTGACATGTATTGACATCTTAGTCCATAGGAAGTAGAGGATCACAGGAAAGAAGGTAACAAAATCTGACAAAAATGAAGGTCTGCACCACTACCTAAAAACCAGCACTCGGGGGATTAACCTTCCCAGTGTCAACACAGAGGTGGCCTGCCATGAAACACTGCACACTAAATACTATGACAACCCACGGGAAACGTCTTAATACAAGCCCATGTCATCTATAGATCGCTATGTGTATACCTTCAATTTAACGTGGAAACTGTCAAAATATTAAGTCAGTTAAAAACAGCATTAAACAAATTGGTAGCTAGTCTACAACTAAAACGAAAACCAGAATTAAACAAGAAGAACCCTTAAAACCAAAGCACGGGCATCAAGACTCCGGTTATCACAAGCGACACCGGCATCCTGGCGGGCTCCTGCTGAAAACTGCATTTCCATAGCTAGCTGGAGGAATGAAAAGCTTCTTACAACCAGCTAAAAAGAAAGTCTTTACCAGGCCCCTTGAAAAAAGCTCATTTTCACATTACTCAGGCTTCATTATGCTAAATCAATATTCGTTTAGTCACTGGGGTTATTGACATATTTTAAAATAAAAGTATACCCTTCAGCTACTGCACTCATTACAGGTGATTTGTCTTGTCAGAGAGCAGGGAATATTATCTTAGTCTTTCAGGAGCTGACAGCCCATGGAAATACCTCCCCATGGTTACAACTGTAAATAATTTTAAGGTAAAATATTGAAAAATCAATGACTGCTTCCTGCAATCTGTCACAAACAAATCAATCATAATCTGTACTGCCATCGAGTATGATTTGAAGGAGATGGGAGCAGATGTAATTCCTGGCTGGAGTCTCTCATTTCAAAATCACTTCACATAATGGTGTCATCATTTAAACACTTAACAGTCAGTGCAACGGCCGCTGTAACATCAAGTCGGACCAAACCACAAGGAGGAGGAGGAGAAAATGCCATCGCTATTATGTTAACAAACATTTAATTTAAATGGTTGGTACATTAGTAAGTTTCCTCTGTGAACAATTTTACCTGCCCCTTTCACAGCTCGAGATTAATCAAGCCTGCTTTCCACATCCTGACGGGTGGCAAGTTAGCCCGGGACTCCAGCTGTGGTCTCTAAAATACTTGTGACTTTTATTTGAAAAAAATTATAAGGGACAAAATCTTGAATTAACAAAGATACATGGGTCCCAGAATATTCTATGATTCTATCCCTATAACAATGACAAAAGACAGTGTCATACATATCAAGACCTTACTTTCATGATCTAAAAAATTGGCAGAAAGATATCAGATGCTCAAATGTTGAATTTTACATTTTCCTTCTATTAATAAAAACATTTCAACTTTATAATGTTCTAAATGACCAGCAAGACCGAGTCAGTTTAAGCACGCTGTACTCTACACACAAGCTGCACCATCAACTGCTGTATTAAAAGCAAGAGGAATAGCCCACCCGTTCCAGGTGCGAAGTTGGTCATGGTCACAATACTGACAAGCTGTGCCAATGTAAACTGCTTTCCAAATAAGTGCTCTGCTATCAGCACTGTCTGACTACATTGCAATGGTTCCCCAGCTGCCGACACCCTGCAAGAAGACATGGGGAAAGGAATGTGAAACTAATATTCCTCCCGCTACTCCGGGGATCCCCCCAAACATCACTTTACTTCCAGATTACCCGGAGTCTTTTCTGAAGGTTTGCGATTGTAAATGTGCTCTAGTACCTTTAATGGAAGAAATCAGTGTGAGCCACCACATTTCTTACCATTTTCCTAATTATATAATTAGACAGCATAAAGCCCTTTACTGTTTCATTAATGTCCCTTACTAGATATATATAGGTCAGGGGCTAGAAATTTGTGATGACAGGGAAAAGGTTGCCTTTTTAAACAAGAAAAACAAACAGCTAGAAATGCTATTAAACGACTGAGGTCTGTGTCAACATTCCCAGATAAAGTAACTGCTCTTCGGAAAGGACCAATTCATAACTGAACCTCCGTGGTCAACATGGCAACCACAGGGCCAGAGGACAGAGCTTCTCCTGAAGACAGAGTTGGAGCCCAATGCTGTTTTTCAGGAATCTTAGATTTCAATGCCAGCAGTAGGTTTGAAGACAAAAATGCACATGAGTAAATTATCAGAGATGCATCCCAGAATGTAGCAGAGCCTTCTATTCTGTGTGAGCCCCTGCAACAGCTGCAGAGCACATAGTAGCCAACCTAGTGTGGTGGGAAGGAAAAGCCTGGCCAGGGTTTCTGGAAGCCAACAGAGCTCGGGCTGGAACCAGGCAAAGAAAACATGGCCTGCTATCAAGAGCCAGCCTCTTGCTGGGGTCTCTGGGCTGGGGCGGCTGGCGGTCAACCACCATGGAGAATACACCCCTAGGTAAATGCAACAAAGGAACAGGAGGTAAATGAGGACAGTTGGACAACAGGCTGAGTGCATGTCAATCCCAAACTGAAATGTCATCCGCTAGAGCCGTGCAGAACGCCATCACAGATCTAATTCGCAGAAAGAAGCTATTTTAAGGGTGCTGAGTAGGCCGAAAAGCTATTTCTCAGCTCTCTAAACACAGCCTGTGGCCCTGGAAGAAGCAGGCTCAGAAAGTTAGCAGAGAAAAACAGGATGGTTCCCATCGCTCAAAATTAAAGAAACTGTGATCTATTGGATAGAGTTCTCATGTAGGCTAAAGGTTCAGAATTGCAGAGGAATGTGTTCTTGATGATAGATAGTATTGCCTTCCCGTCTTCTGGATCACCTCCTTCCACGGCGGCCAGAAGTCCAATATGAACTGCGGATCTTAAAGAGAAAACGGCACAGTTAGCTTCCTCTCACCACTCCCTTTCTTCATGAATCACAGTTTAATTACTGATACCTGAAGTGATTTTATTGTGGATGATGCATTTCTTAAAAAGCACATTCTTTAGATATTTCCACTAGAGAACATTTAGTACAACCTTCTCAATTAATCAGCCATAACCCATTACTCCAAAAAGGATGGTTCTTGATATTTTCAAGAGTGTGCTCCAGTACAAATATTTCATACAAGATGAAGAGATCTGATGCATTTGAATACCTTTAATGAAACTTGAATTATAATAGTAAATCTAGCCCACAACAGATATGAAACTTGATAAGCCTGAATGCTCAAATATATCTAATATATATATATATATATATATATATATATATATATATATACACACACACACACACACATATATACATTCCAATAGTTATGCCTAGGAGAAAAGAACTAAACCTCAATCCTCTTACGTTTAAATCAACAACTCTATCATGGTTTAAGAACAGAACAGACCCCTAAGCTTAAAGGTAAATAATGATGAATCCTATTTGTGCCTGCCTAACATTTTCTTTACATTTGTGCTGTGCTTCTAGCTTGCTGTAACACTAGCCCTGAGTTTCTGGAGGTTCCAATCAGTACAGGGAACACAAGTCTATTTACAAACATTTACTTACAAATGATAAAATAGTATTTCCTATTATAGCCAAGACTACACAAATGCCTAATAATTCATAGAGAAGCATTTGTTCTAGCAAAGGCTAGACTAATGAGACTGCCTTCAGTAAAATTATCTTATTGGGGTGGGGAGTTCAGCCACCAACTTAGTCCAGTTCCTTGCTCTATTCTTTAGATAGCACAAATAGTCTGCAAATTCTTTCTCAAAGCCTTTCTTCTCACATATTCCAGAACCCTATTTTTAATAACAATAACAAGTTTTGCATACTTGTATACTTTCTGTAATTAAGAGCTTGATGCCAAAGGCTGAAGATAATGCTAAATTTATTCTTTAAAAAAAATCAGTTCAAAAAAATAACTTCAAAATGTGATTTGTTTTAGCTCTATTATTTCCTTTTAATAGCAATTTTGATTTCTATTAAACATTACAACCTTGTCTTGATTTTACTTTCCAATGCTATAATTCAAATAAATTATTTAATGCAATTCCAAGATAAATGATAAATTATTCAGACATTCCACAAATCAACAATTTCTAAATTTACCAAATTCCTCTTAGTGCACTAATAGAATTTGAATAATCAAAGATCTCAGGTGGCATTCCCCCACTATCCACACTTAGCACCAATTACTAATATGCATTCTTTGCTGAAGCCTCCTTGGTGCTATCTGGGAGCTTCACATCCAGGCACACCCAAAGCATTCAGATAAGCATTGGTGTGTTCAAGAACAAATTTTAGTCAATATGTAAAATAACCCTATATTTTGGAAATGAACTTATCTGAAACATCCAAATATATTATAAAACATTGTACTTATAACCTGACCAGGAAGTACAAAGGAGTCTGTGTAAGAGAACACAGAACACTAGCAATACTTTAGGGATATTAGATATGAACGTCTAATCCAATTTTCTCCAAGGTATCACTCCATATTATGGTAAATAAGCAAATAAGAGCTGTATCAAGGTGTGGAATATCATTAGCCTGAGAAAAGGCAGGAGAAATGGATTACACAAATGACAGCTACGGGAGGAAATTATATTCCCCCTTCCTGAACAAATGTTAGATGCATCCTCACTAATAAAGACACTCAAACTATGTTACAATATACTGGGTTTCAATTTTGAAGCGTCTAAGTTGATTTGCAAGCTAAATTGTTGCTGAGGTATACTAGACTATGAAAACACAGGCAATTTATACAGAAATAAGTCATCAGTATTGCACTTCAGAGGAGAGCTGTGAAAGCAAACTAGTCATTACAGAACAAGGAAAAAATCACCCCTAGGTTTTACGTTCATGGGGAAGTGTCAGCTGCTGTTCTGTTAAAAAAAAAAAAAGCTATTCTCTACCAAAATGATGTTAAAAACAGAAGCTAATGCAATGCAGAAACTGAAGAGAAATATATGAAGACAGACATGCCTCCACTCAAAGCAGGTGGTGCTATTTCAGAATTAAAATGTTGTTCCAACTATGGCACTGTGCTCATAATCTATTTTAAACAACCCATTCAATTCACAAAGGATTACACGATCTCATTCATTTCCAGCTCATGAACTAAAGAACATTTCAGTTTTTCCTAAGATTTCTAGAACATACAAACATTCATAATTGTATTATTAATTAAAATGGATAATTTATTTGCATTAATATTCCACCTTTTAACACAATATATCTAATTTAAAAATAACATGCACAACAGCATAAAAAATAGGGACTGTAGCTGCCAGAGAAAACATTCTGGTGAGGGGTCTGGGGGATAAATAAAGCAATTATCTCAAAATTAACGCTCTTGTTTCAGTTTCAGCAAACAAATTTAAGTAAGTCTTCCTTTGATTTTAGTTCTCCGTGTAATTCTAACCAGCTAATTATCCTTGAAGTCAAGAATGAGCCATGACTCTACACCTGGCCTTTCCCATCATATGCCCACGATCCCCTCCACTTTCATTTCCTCTTTCGACTCTGAGGTTTAATATTGAAGGAAAGCACGGACCCATCTTACACAAATGCTGATTGACAGCCAGCTTCCAGGAAATGTCGAGCTACAAAGAGGAGGGAAATTTTAATGTAGCACTTATGTTAAAGGGTATGAGGTGCAGGGTCATCCAAGGGCAAGTGGCCACCAGCATCCCCCTGTCATTGTTTGCACACTGAGAGATTCATAGTTAAAGGGGATGGTACTATTTTAACGATTATAAATTTAGAACCCGGGTTATAAATTGGGTTCTAAACTAATACTGTATCATCATTTGCTTACTAGTTTAAATATATTATATAGTATTTTGGAAGGAGTAAAGTTTCCCTCTATTTCTATAAATGACGAGCTATTCCATAAACACTGTAGCTATGCACTTGATGATAAGAACAGGGAATTGTTTCAGACCATCAAGGCACTCCCCAAACCTTAAAAGGCATACATTTCTCATCTATTTACCTTTTCATTATATCCCTGTTTTTGCACACTAAACATGTCTTCCTCACTAATGAATGTCTGCTGAACAATACAGCCCTCTATTTTATGCTTTGCTTTCAAAATTAGAAGCTATTATTCCACAAAGACAGAGTACAAAGAGAGCCGACACAAGGTATTGCCAAAAAGCCACAAGTAGTATTAGAACATGCCAGAACACTTAACATTAAACTACCATTCCTCTCTAAAACTTCTGTTGCCAAACTGCTCACACAATCTGGAAGCTCAAAGACAGGTTTCAAGTGTAATTAAATTCTCCAAAAGCAAAACTGTACAAAATTATGCCCTCTTCTTCTGGCTCCATTTACAGACAACATTTTCTCTGGATCTTAATTAAGATAACGATGCGCACCTGTGTCAACATTCTCCAGCAAGACAGCCTTATCAATCATAATCCTTTAAGTACACTCGAAAACAGCAAAGCGAAATGACAGAAGCAATCTGTTGCCTTTCCCAATGCTGGTGTTGTGTCTCTGCCACAAGAAAGATGAGATCTTTAAAATCCAGCAGATCTACTCTGGCAAGTCTTTAAAGTTCTAACTGTAAACAGCTATTACACTAAATAAACAGGCGTCACCTCCTTTGCACTTGATAGAGACAATGACAACTCTCCTCGTCCAGAACCTGAAGAGCAAGCTCCATGCCACATCTTGGCAGTACAATCCTAGGTCTTATTTTAAAGCTCTGTGTTTTAAGAGCTAGGCATAACTGGATCCGTGCAGACATGACAAACCAATAAACCCTTGGCAAGTTTTAAAGTGAAGCTTAACAAGGCTACATTAAAAACAATCAGAGTAACCGACCCCGAGTACAACATGTTCAGAAACATACGAACGCAGCAGTAGGGAAAATAAGAAGTCCTGGCGACTTGGCAGGAGGAAAGATAGGTCCTACCTCTGCTGGTGGAAAAGGAGCTTCAGTAACAAGCGAGCCGGAACTACAGCTAACAAGTGAGCAAGTCCTCAAATGGAAAAGCTGATGAACGGAAAGGAAAACGTGTGTGTGTGTGTGCGTGTGTGTGTGCTGTGTGTGTGTGGGGGGGAGTTCATCCTCCCCCAGGATCAAGATAAAAAGTTAAAACATTGTGTTTACCAAGCGACACTATAAATGCTTTCTTATAAACAGGGAGAAGGGCCACCAGATGCTGTCTGAATTCCGTCTGCCTGCTAATGGTCAGCCTTAGTCTCCCTCACTTATTAACACAATTCTGTCTCTGACGCAGGCGGCTGGGGCCAGCCGAGCAGCAGAGCCATCAATGTGCAAATAAAGCAGAAAATAGAGACATCTTTAAGAAATGAGCCTTAAATTTGATGTAGAACGGAGGTGACAACCACGGAAACAGAACCATAAATTCTAAATGTTTCAGTATCTTGCAGGATTTTTTCTAGTCCTTCACACCAAAAAGAAGACAGTAGTAGAAAAAATAGAGTGGGGAGCAAGATGGGGAGGGGGAACAGAAACAGCCAAGCCGCTCAAGTGGCAGGATTATGTAATGAGAATGTCTGCGTGACAGACTCAGGCTCTTGGTGGCACAAACCTCCTTGGCTCCCTTTCAGAAGTCGTCATCCTGGACGAGAGCCGAGACACTGATTCGGGGGAACACGCGTGGGCCCGGGGAGACACGCCCACGCGCGCCTGCCCGCACGCGGACTGAAGCACTCGCCTGGCGGGACTCACGCTCTGGCGGCCCACGCGCCGGGCCCGGCCGCGTCCACGCCATCGGCTTGGTGCACGTCTCTGCGCGGGCCGCGGACGCTCCCTCGTGGCAGGCCGCGCCGACCGTTAGCCGGGCTGAGCGGGCGGAGCCGGGGGGCGGTGCGGTCGCGGGAGGCGGGGACCCTCGCGTCGGGGCGGGGACGCTCCCTGCAGACAGCCGAGCTTATCCGGAACCCGGAACGGTCAGCCCGAGAGGCAGCCTCAGGCCGTCGCGCGCTCCCCGGGGCTCAGGTCCCGCGCGCCGCTCCGTCTGGCTCACAGCCGCCAGCCTCGGCCGCGGACCGCTTCTGGTCTCCATGACAATACACGGACGAAGCCCCGCCCCTCCACGCCCCCTCGGTGCTGGGACTCTGAAGGAAGAGGCTGCGTCATCCAGAGGTGGAGCTAATGGAGGCGAGCGACCAATCAGAGGCGAAGGCTGTATTAGGGCAGGGCAGGGTGGGCCGAGAGGTTCTCGGAGAATGTAGTCCGCAGGGGTCCAACCTCTTGGGGGCGGAACCTGTAGCCGGAGTGCCGGGCAACGGGGGCCGCCTGCGCGCGTGCGTGAAGGCGCGCCGCGGCGCTGGTCCCCGTGTGGTCAGGGTGGGGTTAGTGTGTGCTGCGGCCCCAGCTCAGCAAACTGTGTGTCCCGCGGGTCAAAATCATTGCGCGAAACTTTGTGTATAGTTATGCTCCAGTCTGTGCGTTGCCCGGTTGTGAAAGGCCACAAAATGCTTGGGTTGTGCCCTATGCCGACTGCAGTCCTGGTTCACCAGCGCCCCTGTCTGTCCCTTAGCTCCAGTGCGTCTATAATTTGCGGCGGCGGGAGGTGGAGACCAGGGGTGAGGGTCTGTTTTGCCTTCTCACTGTGTTGCCGTGCGGGGGTGAGATCTGCCGGTGTTCCGGTGGTGTGTGTTTGCCTGGCCAGCGCCTCGCTGAACAAACAGCGGTTGGGTTGGACACTTCTGCCCAGTGTTTGCAATGGAACTGGGGGGGGGGGGGATGCGAGCGAGGGGGAAGGCGACTTAGTGAAACAAAAGGGAAGATATCCCACACCCTCCGTCACCGCAGACCTGGCCGAGCGAGCAGCCCGCAGCTAGCCAAGCGAAGCAGGAAGCGCTGCATGGGATGGCAGTGGGGCCGGGGGTGACTCGGGGACCTACTCGCGTGTAACTGCTTTTCCGCCGGGCACTTCTTGCCCACTGCCTCCCTTGGTCCAGAGAAAAGTCACACCCCCATCCGGAGTCCCCCGATTGTCCACTCTCGCCTCCTCTAGCCGTCTGGCAAGGGTCGGTGGAAGGAAGGCCCAGTCGGGATCTTTCAGCCTAGGCCTGGCTCTCGCCCACCTGCTGCTGCGGCTGGCACAGAGAGTCAGTCGTCCCGGCCTCCCTGTGCCCTGGGCGCGGGCATCCATTGGCTCTCCCTGGGACCTAAATTCCAGGTCTCCAGCTCAACCTAGAGACCTCCAGCAGGAGGGAGAAGCCGCTGTGGAGCGAGCGACGAACCCAGCTTTCCGGAGATCAAGACGTCCGCCAACTTCGCTATTTGCCCTGGCGAGGAGGACGCGGAGCGTTCACCCAAGCGCAGCCTGCTGCCTCTTTCCCTTTGTGTTCCCGAGCGGCCCGACACACGACCAGGGCCAGTCGTGCGTCGAGATTGCCGCTCCGCCCAGAGTTAGCAGAGGAGAGGAAAGTTGGAAGCGTTCGGCGCGCTTGGGATGTGATTGTCATCCTGGGGCCGGCGCTCGAGAGTCTGAGAAAGAGAAGAGAGGAAGAGTCGGGGAGGGAGGAGGGGGAGGCCGGGCTGAGGAGGAGAGGGGGGCGGCGGAGGAGAGGCGGGCGCTAGGGAGGGGCGAGGGGAGCGCCAGTGAGCGGGAGAGGAGCCGGGGAGGAACAGGGAGAGGGCGAGGCGCGCCTGGCGGCCGGGTTGGCTGCGGCCGCCCAGAGGCTCCTGCCAGTCCCCCCACCGACTACACCCCGGGAAGGAGGAGCTTCGCGCGCGCACAAGGCGTCAGAATCCTCAATTTCCAACTTAGCATCTTGGCAGGACCTTTGCAAAGCCAAAAGCAGAGCCCCCCGGTGCAAAGAGCGAGGGGGGGCGGGGGGAGAGAAAGCCTAGCCCGGGCAAGCGGGGCGCGCAGAGGAGCGGGCGCGGCGGTCGCAGCCGGAGGCGCGCGGGAAGCCAACCAGGAGGCGCCGCGGGCCGGAGCCCGGGAGCCGGGGCTCGAAGAGCTGCGGCCCGGGGCAACCAGAGGCCAGGTGCCCGCTCGCTCGCCCTCGCAGGGCGCCGCCCGGCTCGTTGGCCGCCGCGGCGCGGCGCGCCCCATGCCCGTGTGTGGCCATGTCCTACCCGCAGGGCTACTTGTACCAGCCGTCCGCCTCGTTGGCCCTCTACTCGTGCCCCGCATACAGCACCAGCGTCATTTCGGGGCCCCGCACGGATGAGCTCGGCCGCTCGTCTTCGGGCTCCGCATTCTCGCCCTACGCAGGCTCCACTGCCTTCACAGCTCCCTCGCCGGGCTACAACTCGCACCTCCAGTACGGCGCTGACCCCGCGGCTGCGGCCGCCGCCGCCTTCTCGTACGTGGTGAGTGAGCTGGATGTGCGGCGGGCGGGCAGCCGGGGCCAGGCCTGCAGACCGTGGCTGCGAGGGACACGGGCCTAGGCGCCACCTCGTTCGCCTAGCTTCGCGGACCTTGCAAACTTGAGCGATTGTCTTGCTCGCCTTCACCCGAGTCTTGGACTCCGGAGTAGCTCTGGCAAGAGCCGCGTCTCGCTGGGATTGCCGAGCTGAAAAAGGGAAGGGTTTAGGGGGGAATTGGTCCTCACTATTAAAGAGCAACATTTGGCTTAAAGCTCAGGACCAACCCGCAGATTCTTTTTATGTTTTTTTTCTTTTTGTTTTGCCATTTTAGAAAAGTAGCTCAAAAGAAGCCGAACCGAATTCTGAACAGTAGTAGTGTGCAAAAATCTATGTAAATGAGTTTGGCCTTGCCTTTAATTAATCCTCCAAAATGTTGCAAATCCGTAATCCTATCTTCGCAATCCGATTTAGAAGTATTAAATTCTGAAACGTCCAGCGAGCTGCGGTGTATCCGGGTTTTTTTGGTCGGGTGTGCTTTCTGGAAAAGCGCAACGCCTTCGGTTAGGGATAGCATTTTTGGACCGTTGGCGTGCAAGCTAAAGCTCAGCTTGTCCTTAGAGTTTGAGGAGTAAAGAAAGAGCCTTGCGCCCAACGTGCGACAGCCCTGCCATAGAGCTCTGAGTCTATGCCGAGGCTGTTCAGGCCTCTAAGTGGGCCCTGCTGCAGAGGCCAGATCTAAGCCCTGGGCACCGACGTCTCCCAGCAGATGAGGGCCTCCAAGGTGGTGTTCCAAGCCCTGAATAGCCTCAGGGGTCTGAAGGACCAGATTTAGAAATTGGGGGCCCCACTGCCTTCTGAGGAGGGGGAGGGGGTCACTCTTGTGTTTGGAATCAGCCAGTTCTGTCTGCCTCAGGGGAAGCTGGAGTGCGGGCCGCGCTGGCATGCAGACCTAGGCACAGAGGGAAAGTGGGTTTTAGCCTTTCAGGTGGCGGTGAAGCCCACAGCCCCCACCACTCACCTAATCTCTGCCTATCTCCCGCAGGGCTCTCCCTACGACCACACTCCCG